AGCCTCCAGGGGATAAAATCAGCAATTTATGCAACACTACTGAAATCGAGGGGGCTTTGCACTGGTGGGGGAAGATGGGAGAGAGGTGTCTGCCACCACACATGTAGAATGTGGCTTGAGTAGCTTCATGAGTCTAAAAAAATGGATTATTACCTGATGCCGTGTAGTCCCAGTCATAAAAAGATAACAGAAAATAATTAATTAAAAGCATCACAAATCCAGAGAAGGTTAACAAGTTAGGAGCAACCCACTGAGGCACTATCTGTAAAAATATTTAAAACAAAGGCAAAATCAGATTTGACAATTAAGAATACATTTTTGTAACCTACCATTTTATAATCTTTAAAGATAAGGCAACGTATGTGCTTTCCATAAATCAAGAGTTTAATACCCAGCAGGTATTTCATATTTTTAAGGAGTTCTCAATTTTATATAGTTTTAAATTCCAAAACAAATGCATAAACATCTTTCCTTAAATACTGCCTCCTACCCTAAATATTGAACCATTTTTATAAATAGTGTAGCTTTAAAATGGCAGATTTCATATCTTATTCACACATAAATATAGTCTTTACTCTTCCTCACTCCATGGAAAAGTTTATCATGTTTCTATACAGAAGAAATGCAAGAAGACTGCAGCACCACAGTGTGGTATTCAGGCAGCATTTAGCATCCAAGTAACATTGTGACAGTCTTGGAAAGGACTCTCTAACATGACAGACCCACAAAACTGTAGAACTTCAGAGGAGATGCATCTATAATTAGACCCAAAAAAATGAAAGAAAGAAAATGAGATGCCCAATGAAAAAGCCTACCAGGTAGTCCATTCTCATCTACTCATTCTAGGCCCTACAATTGTCAGATCTCCACAAAGCAGCTGTTTCCAGGTTCAGCTTCTCCTTCACCTTTTCCTGCGTTTCTCTAGCTTAACATATCAAATTTTCTTTATTATTTTTTGCTAGAACACATTTCCAGAGAAAGGATTTTTAATGGTTAACCACAGCTGTGACTGTCACACTGTAACTATGGTCAGTGGCAGTAAGTTAATGGTACAATGGGATGTGATCCCTGATTCCAAAGCCATGCCACATGTGCATGGCAGAAGTTGCAATTCTTGGGACAAGGAATACATTTTCGCAGATTCCAGTCATGCAACTGCTGGTGCAGGGAGTCAGCATCAAGAACAGGTCCCCAGTGACAAGCTTCCTGCAGCATGTGTGGAGCCTGAAATCATGACCCCAGGCTTCACATATACTAGCAATTTGAAACCATGTGTGGTATAGCTCTGCATGGGCTGCCTCCTCTGCAGGCTTGCAGGTTTACAGGTTCTAGGTAGGGGAAGCTGATGGGCTCCTCACTCTCGGCAAGTTTAAACCTGCACATAAGGAAGCAGTGCACGGGCTGCCCAGTGCACAAGCTTACAGGTGCCAGGAGTGGAAAGCTCACTAAATGTAGTGATTTATCATAGGATTAACATGTTAATTGAAGATTAATGTCTACAAGCGGTCCATGTGCATAAAAAGCACTGGAGGCTTTATAAGTGAACTGTGTGACATGTTTGAGGAATGGAAGCACTTATAAAGAAGAACCTCATCCATATCACACATAACTAAACAATCCAAGTTTAATTTCCAAAAAATGATACCATCAATAAAATAACAAAGTAAACTTGACAAACACTTAATTCTTTCTTTAAAATGTGTTAAGATAGTTTTTACCTACAAATAAAGTAAATTTAAAATTAAATTTGGGACTGAATTCTCTGTTAGTTGCATTGGTTTTACATGTATCTTTTCACATTTTGGAAATGTTTTTCTCTGCCATTTTATTACATAAATGATCCATATATAAACCTGGACTAGCTGATTAACACTTTCAGATTAGGACATCTGCATGTTATTACAATACAAAAAATTAGTAAAACGCTGTGAAACTGCCAGTGTACTGGGGATCTGGACTTAATGGGACTCTTCCAGTCCTATGTTCCTAAAAAACCCTAAAAATAGGGAAATTTCCTAATCATTTTCATTTATTGTCTCTTAGCAATTTACTTTAACAACAGTAAGTAAAATCATTGTAGTATGATTTTTAAATATGATTTTATTTATACTTGTGTCAGATTGATCTAGTCATTTAAAAGCATTACATAAATGATATAATATGATATGCAGTCCTATAGGACTGCAATTATTACAAAATACTTTTATAAATCTTTATTGCCAACAAATTTTCCTCAAGGTTTCCTAAGGAAAACATATACAAAGAATGCTTCCATTTCTCTTACCCATCTTATAACATTGATCTCAAACTCAGCATGCTGAGCAAGATTTGCAATACTGTACTCTTCTACCTTTTTATATCAAGTACTTGCTCCCAAGCAGAAAAGGTATGTGTGACAGGAGTAGGACTAGGTAAGGATAATGTCCTCACTAAAGACACATTATGAAGATCTACCTGATGCACATGTTCTTAGGCAAGTTAAGACACTTGCTGATGAAGAAAAGCATGTGGTCAAGGCTCTGATCCTTTCCTTCTATTTTTATGAGTGTAACAGTGGCCCCTAATTAGGGACAAGACACTAGAAGAGAGTAATTGTGGGGCAGGAAACCTTGGAAAGACAGATTATAACTCAAACTGGGCCAGCATCAGGAAGCCCTGTGATGAACAGGGCAGACAAAAGCACCTGGGGTGTAATTCCAGCCATCTGAGTAATGCCTCTGATACTGATGATTAAAACTACAGGCATTGCAGATGAAGTGGGGAGGTCACCATTAGGCCTCGGTGTGAAGCTAGGTGGTAGAAGACCACCTGTGAGACAACCAGGCCTGTCACAAAGGGGATGGGAAACATATTTATTCCATTCCATAATATGATGGGGACAAAAGATTATTTTCCTAAATTTGCAACCTACCAAGAATTAATTATATAAAAATGATTGTTCTTGCAACTCATCTTCTCTTTTTTTTCATAAAATGAAATCACAGTGCTCGTTTTATGACACCATAATCATTTTATGTGACTATACTGTGTCCATAAACACAATTTTACTGTTGGATTAAGCATAAATAGTATCTTATTCATAAAACAAAAGTATGGAAAGATTAGAAACATTTCTGACCAACTATATCCATTTTCTTTTGAATTGATTCTATCTAATCTCAAGTTTGCTCAAGTATATTTTCCTTTCCTATACACATAAGATGCCATTAGTACCTTGAATCTCAAGAAAGTACAGATTTATGTAAGAGATGATTGCTAGTATTCTCCAGTTAACCAAATGGTAAGTCATACTTAAAAATATCTGCATATCCTATTGCACCCAAAAGATAGCACCCCCTAATCTTTCTTTTTTTAATGAGGATGGAAACTGCTTTGATTTTCAGAGTCTTAGAGAAATGCCCAATGCTCCAAGATCAAGTGCCTTTGCAAGAATTTTAGACTGCATTTACCAACTAGGCAGCATATGTTGTAGGAAAAATAAATTGTACTAAGGATAACTTCCGATGTCACAAAGGTGTGTAATGAAGGATATTAAAAAAAAAGTCTTCACTTCTGTATAATGATGAGAACAAGCTATGTACAACTCTGGTCAGAAGGTATGTATACACATATAATATAATGTAAAAAAAAAGTGCCTTGAGTTATCTCCATCTCAAATATAGCTATCTATTCCATGAAATGTTTTTTTCTCATTCATATATTTAATTTCAGCTCTAAAATCATCATCTGATATATAAAATTATATATAACTTCTGTACCTTAACACAAACTTTTACTTTTGCATGTGATGTTTGTAAACAAGAAGACTCTTACCTTTACAATTTGGTCCCACATAGGCTGTAAAATATGTACTGACAAAGGGTTTGTATCCACAGCACTGTACTGTAAAAGGGGGGCAAAACAAACATGTTAAAATATAAGAAATTGAAAAATTGTTTCTGCAGGAAGCTATACCTTTTGGACTCTTAAAGCAGATCAACTTAAAATAGATTAGCCTGAATGTTTACTCTGCCACAAATAAAATTTAAATTTAATTGAAAAATGCTAACCATATAGTAATGCCAGTAACACAATACATATTTCTCCCTCTTGCTTTCTCAAAGAAATAGAGACTAGTTCTATAATAATATTATGCATGGAATAATC